TACCCGCCTCGGGTCAGACCAGGAGGTAGGCGCTTTCTGCGTGTAGCACCTGGGGAGAGTCTGCTTCATCACCAGCCCCCCCCTCCCCCCCATAGCAACCTAGCCAGTCTACACGTTCATTAACGGGCATTAAATTTAGTACCTCTATTGTGAGGTATTAGAAAAAGGCGCATCCGCGTGTCTTAAAGCACCTTAGATAAACAGCAGGTTTTTTGTGAGGCTTCAATGTGCAGTAAAGTAGGCTAATGCACATTTAAGTGCATGGGCGACTGGTGCCTCTTGGGGGGGCACTTGTCCCCCCAGCGACCAGGGGCGCAGCCAATTGCACCAACCCCGAAGTGCCAGCGGTGCTTGTGCTGGAGCCCCCACTCCCTGGCTGGTGCTCTCGGGGGGCACTAGTGCTCCCACCTGCACCCCCTGCACGTTGCCTAAGCGGGGGATGCTAGCTGTCAGGGGGTGCTCATGCCCCCCCCCCCCCCGTCGCCACTGTTAAAGTGCATGTGCAGAGGCATCCCTAGAACCTGTCCCGTTGATCTCCTTCATTATCCCAGCAGACTCTCTTCCCTGCTTGAGTTGCAGGGCTTTAAAACCTACCTGCATTTGCTTGAAAGTAGCAAACTCAAAGCAGTGGTGAAGGGAAAGAAGTGGATGAAGGCTGGCATGGAACATTTCAGGCTACTTAAAGTGGTGTGTGTGGGGGTGGGGGGAATGGTGGGGAAAAGAAAGAAAGAAATAGGGGCAGGGCAATAAAGGAAGACAAATAATTTGAGACTCAAGGGTCAGGAAGGAATTTTACCTGTGGTCAGATTCGTACAGACTGTGGGGGGTTTTGCCATCTTTTGTAGCAGGGGTGTGCTCTACCCAGGGCCTTTTGAGTGTATATTGACAACATTTTATAGAAGGAAGACATTGGCAGCCATGGTTCTTCTGCTTTAGCGGCGGCAGGTTAGGGTGTCAGTCTCTGTTGTATTAGGGTTGATGGTAGTCTTATGTAAAGTTTGAATCAGTGGTGGGCAAAATATGGCCCACGGGGGCCTGTGGTAGGTTCCATGGCCCTGCCCGGTGCAGGGGGCAGCCCAGGCTTTGGTAGGTCATGCTGCCTCCGGGCACACAGCAGGGCTGGGGAAGCACCGGGGGGCAGGGTAGAGGGGGTGCTGACTTGGCCTGGCGCAGGGTATGGGGATGGGTGCTTATCTGGCCTGTGACAGCTCACCAAAACTCCCTAAGTGGCCTTCCATCCTAAATAATGCCCACCTCTTGTTTAGATGATGGTTTATATGGGATGGTTTGGATAAGGATGACCCTGCTTTAGGTAGGGGGTTGGACTAGATGACCTCTGGAGGTTCCTTCCAGCCCTACTTCTCTGTGACTCTGTGATGCAGTGATTTGAGACTGATGAGTCCCACCAGCCTCCCCCCAAAGTCTGGCCAATTTCTTATTAAGCAAAGAGCAGAAATCCTGCAACTCCCACCCCTCTCCCCCTCCCCCATAAGAATTTTCTTCTGTGATACATATTCTATCTACCCCTGTTCCCCAGTGTACAGTCTGAGATTTTGTGGAGACTGAGAGTATTGGATTTCTTTCAAATCTCCAGTCTAATAGCATCCACAAATAGTTCTCAGCTATAGGGATATTATTGGAAGGAAAGGGCAGATACAGCAGAGTTCTGAAGTTTTACACAGCCTTATCTTTGCAAATTATACAATATATCATTTACATTTGACTAATATTATGCTAATTAGAATCCGAATCCTGCCATGGTTGTTCAGACAAGTAGTTGCTCTGAAGTTGTGGAACTGATCCCATTAAAAAGGATTTTAGGATGAACCCCTATGAACAGCTGTCTGAAGTGTCACATATATCAGGCTTAAACCTACTTTTGTTGTACAGTAAATTTAGGCTAAATAAAAGGCATAGCACAGTTCCTACTGGCTTAGCTAGCCCTCTAGCTACTTTTCAGCTCGTGTAGTCAAGAACTGCTTTTGAACCCCAAGGGTCTCCATTTAAATTCTGTCTGTGATACTGAGTGGTATGCATGCTTAGTGCAGGGCCAAGTCATCTGTTAGGGGAAGGATTGTAGAGAACAGTAGTTGAACGTCTACTTGACCAGCCACAAGATGCAGCAACACATATAAAGACAATCCAGCTAATATAGTAAATCACATCTAAGACATACTTTTATATGTAAAGGAGGGGAAAAAGTCTATGCTGTAGTGAATCCACTAAAGAAAATCAGTGTGAAATCACAGGCATTAAGGGATAGATTGTGTCATTAGGCAGCCCTTTGCTCAAGGCCACTGGTGTAACCCCTGGAAGCAAGGAAGCACAATTCTCTCCCTGCTTCCCCTTTGCTTTGGAAGGTTTGTATTTGAAGACGGGAAGAGCTGGCTTCTACAGGGCATGTCTGTCATGGAAACAAATAGTGATACCTGCACTTCTACCAGTAACAAGTGATGGCACTGAATGGTACTTCAGTTGTCCTGCTCAGTGTATTGCAGGGTAGAACCGAAACTGGCCATTTCTTACTCATCATTCCTGGCAGACTCTGAAAGCAGGTGCACAGTTCCTACTTACTGTTCCAGCTAAGGTCTAGTCATCTCATCTGGGTGCTGGCTTAGAAGGGGTACCAGTATAGTCCTCTCCCACAAGGAGTCTGCCATGGTAGACACAGTCCTGCGCAGCTTGACTGTAGGAGCCAGGCAGACACAACCCCATGTGTATCTGGGTGGGAATGTGTGTTGAAACATAGGCAACTGGTAGGGGGGCTGCAGGGGGGGACATGTGCCCCCCCTGACAGGGCTGCCCCCACTGCCGGTGGCGGCATCTGAGGGCGCTCAATGTGCCCCCCTCAATAGGGCTGTCCCTGCTGCTGGCAGATGCTCGCCAACTCCGCCCCTGCTGCTGCCGGCAGCTTCTGCGGTTGCACCCCCAGACCCAGGAGGCACCAGTCACCCATGTGTTGAATGATTCCCCCCACAGAGGCTTTGCCTTGCGGGGCATAGTTCTGCATTCCGGGGAGGGGGGAGGGGGAGCAAATGGGGCATCAGGAGTAACCATGGGCTAGTCTGCATTGCTTCCTGTCTCACAGTAGGAGCAGCTTGAGTCCACACTGATACAGCAGCAGTGGTAGTAGCTGCTGCCCAAGTCGAGGAGAGCCAGGGCAAGTAAAACTCTCCTTCCCTCCCCTCCCCTCCCCTTCCCCACCTGTTCTCCAGTGGTCAGCATAATTTCCTCCCCATTTACCTCTCCTCTGGGTGCTGAAATTGCTTACTATCTATGCTTCTGTTACTCCAAGTTACAAATTAGCAGTTACATTCTTGAAATATAGTGCTTCAATTTATGCTTAGTTATAAGTCCATTGTCCATATAAGTACAAGTCCATACAACTGCATAGCTGTGACTGAACATAATTTTGGTTAGAATGTACGGGGAAGGAACCAAAGTATGATTCTGATATCAGTGGAACATCAGTGCTCAATAGGAGCAGGGTCTGACTGACTATTCTCTTTCATTGTGATCAGAAAAAAGCCCCTGGCTGGTAACTTCCATGGAGAGAAACACTGAGATTTTGCAGACATTCTACAATACATATTACTTATAGTTCAGTTTTAATTGTTTCTTGTTTTCATTTCAATGTTAATGGATTATATAGTTTAGTGGAGCTCACCATAAGGCCTGCTCTGGGCCCCAAAGTGACTGGATCTGGCACATGGCATGGAGCATCAGTGGCAAGCAGGTCCACCCGGTGCATTTCCTTCTCTACCCTACATCCTTCTGCTGATTCGACTTCACAACCCTCCCTTCACTCTTCCTTTCCCCACCCCTGCAGCAGGTGCTGTTTACTCTCTCCCTCCCCTCCCTTCGGTAGGCAGACAGTGCTACCAGAGGTAAGGTCTTTTCCTCTCCCTCCCCACCTTCTCTTCCTCTGACACTGGCAGCCACCTGCATCCCCTGTCTCTTCCTCTCCTACCACCACCAGAGGGGTGGTGGCCCACAGTGAGACCTGTTCTTAATCACCTGGCCTGCTGCTCTAAGAGGCTGAGCTCTGTTGCTGTAACTAATCCAGATAATTACTATTCTTTCTACTCTCTTGGCTTTTTTATTATAGTGTGCAGTTTATTATAGTGCAGTTGTGACACTAGCTTTCTTGAACAAAAGCTTCTGGAGTTAGTCCAGCTAGGATAGATTAGCATAGAGGTATGATAATATATGATGAAATATAATAACGTACAACTAAAACCTGAATTTCAGAAATACTTTTGGGAAACACTTGTCATTCTTTCTGTTAGTGAGAGTGTAGAAACTCACTGTGCTGCTATTCAGCTGTAGAGTGTCATTTATTCACATGTAGAATTCTTGTGGGTATTAATGAAAGTTTTGTGCAGAAGTCACTAGAAATTTTGGGCATTTATTTTTAACAAAGAATGCATTGCCTAGCTGGATCTGAATCTTTTTGCAGTTTTTAAGGTGCCACTGTCCTTAAAATGTATTTGAAACCTGTCCCATTTTTTTCAGCCAGATAAAGATTTCATATTCATAGGAGTGAGAAAGTTTGAACATATGGGAAAAGATCTTATTTTAATTCTGAAATATTCTAGGACATAGGATAAAGGAGGGCAGAATTATAATTTTAGGTATAAGGAAATAGCATTTGCTGTCTTGGAGTAGATCACTGACCTGACTATTGTGGTCTCATATCTTGTCTCTAACAATGACCAATGCCTGCAGGTTCAGAGAAGGGCATAATCTCTAAACAGTTCATCTGATAGAGCAGTACTATAATCTTGGGGAAACACCTTCCTTAATTCTTCTCTCTAATGATATTTGTACTATAAAGCATGAGAAGTAATGGCCTTTTTGCTCCTAAACTAGCTATTGTATTATTTTAGACTAGACTATGTTAGCAACCACAAAATCTCATAGCTAATTTTAAGTATTTTCATCTGTACAGTTCCAATAAATTCTGTATGTACAACCTTCAGTTTACTCTTCTTTCCTATACATTCTTGATTTTTTCAGAAACAGCTGTACTGTTTAGTGCAGCTTGCTGCAAGCATGGGACCAATGGGGACACTGGGTGAAGAAAACCAGACAGATGACGTGAAAATGGAGCTCTTCACTAGGCTGTATGTGCCAAGACTCACCACACCCCTAAGTGAGCTGGCATCTGACCCCAAACCAGAACTGAAAGACAGCACCATGTTGGTTGAAGTGCAAATCATACTCATCTTTGCTTATTGCTCTATCATCCTACTGGGGGTGATCGGCAACTCCCTGGTGATCCATGTGGTTATCAAGTTCAAAAGCATGCGGACTGTGACTAACTTCTTCATTGCCAACCTGGCTGTAGCTGATCTGCTGGTGAATACACTGTGCCTGCCCTTTACCTTAGTTTACACACTATTAGGAGAATGGAAACTGGGGCCCCAACTGTGCCACCTGGTGCCTTATGCCCAAGGTCTTGCAGTACATGTGTCTACTGTCACTTTGACTGTGATTGCCTTGGATCGGCATCGCTGTATAGTCTATCATTTAGAGAGCAAAATCTCTAAGCGGATCAGCTTCCTGATCATTGGGGTCACTTGGGCTGTCAGTGCCCTCTTAGCCAGTCCCCTGGCCATCTTCCGTGAGTATTTTCTGATTGAGCTCATTCCTGGTTTTGAAATTGTGGTCTGCTCTGAAAAGTGGCCTGATGAGGGTCAGCTGAACTATGGCACCATCTACAGTGTCTCCATGCTCCTTATACAATATGTTTTGCCTTTGGCAATCATTTGTTATGCCTACATACGCATTTGGACCAAACTAAAGAATCATGTAAGCCCTGCGGCTGGGAATGACCAGTATCACCAACGGCGGCGAAAAACCACCAAGATGCTGGTGTGTGTGGTGGTGGTATTTGCTGTAAGCTGGCTACCCTTTCACACTTTCCAGCTGGTCAGTGATATTGATAGCAAGGTGTTAAATCTAAAAGAATACAAACTGATCTATACAGTGTTTCATGTCATTGCCATGTGCTCGACTTTTGCTAACCCCCTTCTCTATGGCTGGATGAATAACAACTACAGGACGGCCTTTCTCACAGCATTCCAGTGTGAGCAGCGGCTGGACTCCATTCATCCTGAAGTACCAACAGCAATTAAAGTCAAGAAGAACCTTGAAGTAAAAAAGAGTCATTGCACTGGAGGCCCTTTCACACAACCTACCAATGTCTAAGAAGTCAGGTTTAAAAGAGGAAATGAATGCACTATGGACATAGAGATAAATCCATTCTGCCGATGCATTGTTAATGTGTAGTTTGTAATCTTATAAGGTGGAAGAAAACTGGCAACTAACATAAAGCATCTGTTGTATGATTCCAGTGGAGTTGGTTTGCTGTCAACTATATAAAATAACGCAACTCCAAAGAAAGAAGAGAGACATTGTTCATGGCTGTCTGTGTTGCGATTAAAGGAATTTTTCCTTTTGTTCTAAGTCAGTCATGAGAGAGGCAGAGAAGGTGTGTGTTATTCTTGCCTCAAGGAAGCAGTTTTTTCCTAGGGAGTGTCAAACCTGGAAGCTGGCTGAGTAGAAATTGTAAGTCTGGCAAAGAGAGAAAAGGGAGTCCTTTAGAAGACCATGGCACACTTTAAGAGGAAGGCTGGGAATTGCTGTTGAAGCTCATGCTTACTGTCTCTTCTCCATTTCAACCGCTTTGCAAAAAAGAGGGTTATCTTAGAGAATGTACCACTATTTTTTACTTGTATTTAAGTAATTCAAATAGGGATTTTCTAGAGGGAGCTTAAAAATGGAGTCTAAGATGAGAAAGGTGAAGTTTCTATGTAAATTATAATCCAGTCACACGGCATAATAAATACTTCCTTATAACTAAATAAGGGTAAGATGAAGAGAAAATTTTAAATCTGGGACCTGATCCCAGGGCTGGCCCTAGGGAAAATGGTCCCCTAGGCAAACTTGTATTTTGGCTCCCCCTGAGTCAGTGGCACTGCTACAGGCAGAGGCAGGTGGGCAGGGATGCAGGGTGTAGTCCAGTGGGGAGGTGGAGCAGCATTTTACCAGGCAGATGGGTGGGCAGGCACTGCTGCTGCTGTGCAGGAGCAAGGCAAGCAGACTGGAGCAGGGGGCTCCCTGCTCGCATGTGCCTGGCTTGTCTCCTGCGCAGTGGCTGGAGATGGCGGGCAGGCTGGGCTGGGCACCATTCCTCCTGCCTGGGGTGGGGATTGGCCAGGGTGGGGGAAGAGTGCTGCTATAAGCGTTGTCTGCTCATGCGTGTGTGTGCATGTGTGGTGTGTCTGTGTGTGTGTACTGCCCACGTAGCCCACCCATAAGGCCAGCCTTGCCTGATCCTGCATTCACAGTGCACACAGATGTTTCATTCTGCATTAGAAATAGCTAAATAGACCAATGCTTTCAGGTGACATTTTTGGGCATGTAGTGAATGCAGGCTTGGGTCTTCTGTGAACACTTTTTAAATTGAGGGAGCTGTTCATGTTTGGTTTTTCAGGCACTGCTGAAGCTTCTAAAGTATTATTACCTCTACAGGCTTTGAATTGTTCCTGCTTTATTCTGCAATAATAAAGTGGGAGAGAATTTGAAACTTTAGGAAGGCTGCTATGATAATGTGCTTTCCAGTGTTTGCGGTTTTGTCTTGCACGTTTTGTCGTGAAGCTTTTTCCATTTTCACACTCTTAAGATTAGAAACAAAGTGTAATCTAGTACCAGTATCCTCAGTTTGCATATATTAACCAATTAACTCTGCATGTTGTAGTTAATAGTTACATTTCTTTTGCTCAGGTATAAAACTTTAAACTGTATTGTACACAGCAAAGTGCAACTCTTCTGTGTCTTTGTTTAGCTTCTTTGAACTCATTAAAGTTAAAGAGATCAAGATAATTTAACCACTGTTTTTTCCAAGCTGCCTTTTTAACTTGCTGTAAAAATGTCTGTGATAGTTTTCACTTCTCATACATATTTTCTGTAGATAAATGTTAATTACCCTATCTTTCAGTGTCTCCTAAATTGTTGGTGTTTTTTCTTACAGAAAAAACTGCTTTAGTGTTAGATTGCTGTTACAAAACTGACCCTTACCAAATGGAGAGCAGTGTTTGTATGTATAATATCATACAATATTAGAAAGAAAGAATGAAAGAAAGAAGGTATGCTGTTGTCATCCCTTCTCATGCCATTAAGACTTCTAGCTTCACTGAGAGAAGATAGGAGGGAAGAAAGAGAACATTAATTGGTGTTTACTCAAAGATATGTATCTTTGAAAATTAAGGTAGATTAATTCACTACCATGTGACTTCATGTCCATAAATGAAATTTTGTCTCAATTACAATAGGAAGCAATGTGAAAGATAAAATAATTTAGGATGATTTGCTGGGAGAGCTTACTGAAGTTTCAAGGTTATGCTATATGTGGTATCAGTTTGATTCATTTGGTATGTGAACACTTCATCAAAAGTACATTGAAATGCTTATCCTTATTTTTTTTTAAAATAGCCTTCTTTCTACACAATGCAATCCACTTGTACCATCAAGTGCGTAAGTGGGGATCTTTTGCTGTTAACCAATCCTGTTCTGAGCCTTGTCTTTAATTTGCTCAAGTTGTTAAGGTCTCTACTTCAGTTCCTAAATGCTGGAAAGGTTTGCTCTTTCTGCAAGTATGTGATCCACAAGGGGATAAGTTGCAGCCCCCCTAGTTCCCTCCTGGCCACCACTCCCCACATTACTCCAGTCTCCCTTCCCTAGCTTCTGCTTTCTGTCAGGGGGCAGAGCACTTCAGGGCAGTTTGTGGAGCTGAGAATGAGGCTGGGGATGTGTAGGCCTGCAGTACAGGGCGGGATGTGGGTGTGCTCACACAGGCACATGATGCTGCAGGAAGGGGCACCTGCACAGTGCAGCAGTGGAGGAGGGTGTCCATGCAATGTGTAGCCTGCATGCCTGTGGTTTACCTTAGTGCTGCCTGTTGGGTGTACAGGCCTGTTGATACTGTCCATGGGGCGTGCAGCCCCTGGCCACTTAGAAGTTGGACAGCCCTGCTTGCTATGCTGTGCTGCTCCAGATCAGCTGCCTGCTGAACTGGAACCAACGTAGCCACATGTGCCCAGCCCTCTGGTTGAGCTCCTTGCTACTACTGACAGTTTCTGCTTTAGGAGGCAACCAATGCAGAATAGTTCAGCATGTTTGAAGACACAGTGCCTGGTCTGCTTGACTGTAGTGTGGTATTTAGACAGATCAATTCTAAAGTACCTGTTACCGTGTTGTGTTAAAGCTAAAATTGTAGACCTGTTTTTTCTTTTCACTAAGGCTGCTTTATATCAACCTGGCAATACAAAGATGCTTTAAATCAACTATAAATGATGTATTAGTCAATTTTATCTTTGCCATTGCCAAAGAAGTTTAAAGTGGCCTTTGTGTAAATAAGAATCCAAAGCACAATGATCTGTTTGCCATGGGCAAGAACAGTTTACATCATAAGTCCAGTCCTTTACACCTTGTGCGCCTGAAACTCTCACCTATGTCGTTTTAAGTCTATGAGGACGGCAAGACCAAAGTTACCTGTTTTTGTTGGTTCTGGTAGTTCCATATGTGTAGATCCAGCTGCATCTGCCAAATATGATAACTGTTTATCCTGTATGCTTATCTAAGCTTATGCAGTTCATGTTGTGTTTATATATATGCTTCATTCTTGCTAAATGCAGAAAGAGGATTTTACTTTTTCAGATTTTACTTTTTCAGGCAGGTCATTGTTACACTGTATAGTTTTGCAAAAAATATAGGGCTGTATAAGTACCAGTATACTGGCATTCATTCACCATTGCCCTGTGCCTTGGTTAGTCATATACAGTATAGAGAAATGCCAAATACAGCCAATAGGAAATGTTGAAAAAGGAAATGCATCTGAAATCCCATCTTTTTCCCAGATTTCTGCAACTTCTTTCCCCTGGAGTTAGGCACCTATGTTAGATCAAGACTTTCAGCATCCAGCATATAAGTTATCCTTTCTCCCCACCCATGTCTGACTAAAAACCCCAACTTCGATAAGTGGAATTTTTAGATAACTGGCACCCCCCTTACCCCACTCATGCTGCATAGCAAAGCTTTTACTGTATATAGGTGACCATCTCACTCCTTGTTTAAGGAAGAACTAGAGAAGGAGAAGGTGGTCAAGACCAGGGGCAGTCAGTTTCCAGCCTTGTAAATTTTCAAGACCAGGTTAGACAGACATTAGGCTGGGATGGTTTAGTCAGGGATGATTTTGCCTTGAGCAGGGGGCTGGATGAGATGACCTCATGAGGTCCCTTCTACCATTATTTTCCTATGATCCTATGATATCTCTTGCACAAAAGTGCAATGAAGCAATGCACATATTAGATTATAATTAGATTAGTAAATAAAAAAATATAGTATCTACATTGTAACTATGAGACCTGAAAAAGAACTACTGAATTTAGGGGTTTGTATAATCCATTCATTGCTTTACAGTCCAAAATTTCATTACTTTTGCCATGTAAATCCAGGTAATATCACCAAGGGATGGATCCCTGAGAGACTTACATGGTGTTGTAGATGTAAATGACAATGAACAATAAGAGGACTGTTTTTTGCCAAACAAATGACAGATTCCTTGCCTCAGGAAGCTAGGAGAAAGATGCATTAAACTCATGCAAGCACAAAACTGTTGAAGACAGGTGTCATGCTTTAAGTATTGGCATGTATATGTATAGTAAATAGTGATGCAACATTTAACTACCTGAAGGGTGGTTCCAAAGAGGATGGAGCTAGACTGTTCTCAGTGATGGCAGACAACAGAACAAGAACCAATGGTCTCAAGTTGCAGCAAGGAAAGTTTAGGTTAGATATTAGGAAAAACTTTCTCACTAGGAGGGTAGTGAAACACTGGAACAGGTTACCCAGAGAGGTTGTGGAATCTCCACGTTTGGAAGTTTTTAAGACCTAGCTAGACAAAGCCTTGGCTGGGATGATCTAGTTGGGGATGGTCCTTTTTTAAGCGGGGCTTTGGACTAGGTCACCTCCTGTGGTCCCTTCCAACCCTAGTTTTCTATGATTCTGTGATATTCCACCCTCTTTTAAAAGTGATTTTAAACAGAGTTTTATACAAAGGGAAAATGAAATGGGTGGCATAACGGGTAAGTAGTTAATGAAGCTACTGTCTGGAAAACCACTGGCTCATCTCTGGGAAATGAAAGAGCAGGTGGAGATAGGAATAGTTGCTCTAGAAAGGGGAAAAAGAGGGCACTACACATAGGGATAAGAAAGAACGGGATGACATAGCTCTTTTAGCTTGACTCAGGGAATTTTCCTCTTCATTAAGTGTAGCTGGTGAGTCAAATAAACCCAATTCAAAATGGATCAAGAGGAATTAAGGTAAAATTAAGGTACAGACAAACTCCATGCAGAAATGAAAATCCTGCCCTAAGTGCTTGGAAAAAAAATTCAGTGACTGCTTCAGTCGTATTGAAATAAA